TTTATGATTTTTTTTATTAATGTTTGTTTATTTTACTATCACAATATATATAAAAAATAAAAAACTTAATTGATAAAAATTCACAATCAGTAACTCTAGTCCATAAGTTTCCCGGGGAAAATATTCGCGGCTGTCGTTCACCAGAAACAGAAAAAAAGAAAATCATATTTCATCTCTAAGAAGAATTGCAGCAAAAAATCTGACAAAACTTTAAGGATTCTGTTAGATTCATGGGTGTGAGTCATCGTTGAGGGGCCCAGAACCTCTTCTCTTCATTCACGTCTTCCACTACCTAGAAGAAAGGGTTTTGTTCTTTAACTCGAATTGGCACCGAGTGAAGAGTTTCAAAAATCTGGAGAAACTATGAGCAATCTGAGAACCCTGTGTAGACCTCAGACGGTGTTCTCTTTTATTAGTTGCAGACACCAGTTTCGATCTATTTCGTTTCCAAACCCTAATTGCAAGCCCCGTTTGCCGTCGCCGTTTCTGTACTCTACGATCGATTCTTGGGGTTCGAATCCATGGTTTCGCGTGAATCAGAGGAGAACCGTGGCCAAGGCATCGAATTGGGCTGAACAAAAATCCCCATATGAAACTCTTGGTAATTTTTAATTTCAAGTTTGTTGACAATTCGCATTACTGAGAAAATGGGGAAAAGAAAACCGGCTTTGAGGTAAAAAAAGAATCTTAGAAAGAGAAGAAATAATGGGTAACGCTGAAATCGAAAATTGCTTAAGCATTAATCAAATAAACTTTTTATTAAGAACTTATTGCAGAAGAAAATAAAATATCAAATGATTTAAACTTTCATTAACTGAACATGCTTTTTTCTGCTACAAGTGTTTAGGGAGAATCTAAGCTTTAGGAGTGGAAACGAATTTCTTTTTTCTGTAGGAAGAGAATAGAGATGGAAAATTCCTCTGCATACTTGTTTGACAGTTCCTTCTCCAATTGTCTGGTGAACAACAGAATTGGAAGGAGATGCTGATGAGGAGCGGATAAAAATTGCTTACAGACGCTTGGCCAAATTTTATCATCCAGATGGTGTGTACCTCCATCTTAGCTACTTGCTTTCTTGAAGTGTCATTTGAAATGTATCTTTCAATTTGATATTTAACATTGCTGGTTGTGGTGGACTGATGCTATATCTAGCAGCATATTATGTTTATTCAAGATGAAGCCAGGCAACTACTTATCAGTTATGATTTTGAGATTTTACATCTTGTTTTAAATGCTAGTCTTCTGGAACGTGGGATATATTTTATTTTTCTTTACAAGAATGTTCCTACGAAGCAGTTATGGCTAGTGCTGTTTCTTCAACTGTGTGCCACACAACTTAGTTGTGAAACAGCAGTTCTGTGCTGGTACTGTTTATAAAAGCGGAGTATAATCTCTCACTCAATACGTACTAACTCTGTTTACTTTACTCTTCAAGTCTATGATGGCAGAGGTAACCTTGAAGAAGGTGAAACAGCAGAAGCTAGATTCATCAAGATTCAAGCTGCTTATGAATTGCTTATAGATGGAGAGAGCCGAAGACAGTATGATATCGATAACCGGGTCAACCCTATGAAGGTAATAGTTTTTGAACTGTTTGATTATCAGTTGTTGACTCTTAGAATTTTAATTTACACTTGTTTGTACTTCTGAACGGGTATGGATCTTGTTATATGGTATTTTAAGTGGATAATAATATGCTCTTGTTCCTAGTATCAAGCGTGAACAAATTCTTTGAGCAATAGTGTTGAAGTATTACTTCAATTTCTTCTATTTTTAAGGTGGTCAATAAAACTAATATGTATTGTATGAACAGAAAACATAACGTTAATTAAGATGTATCTACCATATGAACTGTTTGACTACCATAATCTTTAGATGTTAATGGATGTTAGTGAACAGTCGTAACCGCTTCATTTTTTAATCCTTTAGGAAGGAAAGAAATACTAAGATTTTCTATCCATTGTATTAGCATATCAAACTGCAGAACTTCATCAATTAACTACTGTTTCATCTGTGTACAGAGAATATATTTTTCATGTTCTGCTTTCCAATTTCTCGTCAGCTTAACATCTAAAGCAGAATAGCCTCTGATTCTCCAAGCGTTGTTTTTACTAACTTTTAAAATGGATAATAATGGATGTACACTTCTGCTGTAATTAGAATATGTTTACTTTTCTTATTCTTGACCACTGTGCTTCTTTGTTTTCTTCAGGCATCTCAGGCATGGATGGAGTGGCTTATAAAAAAGCGTAAAGCTTTTGATCAGCGGGGTGATATGGCAATTGCTGCTTGGGCTGAACAGCAACAGCGCGAGTTAAATCTTCGTGTGCGTCAACTTTCTCGTTCAAAGGTATTGTGGTATGCTTGAAAATGTTGCCATCTTAATGTAATGTAGGCTTGAATGGTTGTCAAGAAGACTAGGTCATAGTTTTGTCAAATTTTCTTCCAACAACCATAATCAACATTACAACCTGGTTTCTTACGTGAATAAGTCCGTCACTTCCATGTTTGAGTGAACTTAAAACTATTAATGATACTAGCTTCGTATATAACATGGCACATTTGTTTTTCTCTCGAGAATGGGTATTGGAAAGAATCAGTATCACATGTAATCTGTTCTCTGAGCAATGTTCCAATTTTTTCTATGCATCTGATTGGAATTATTTTACATAATCTCAGACTGATCCTGATGAAGCTAGGAGGATTCTGGCAAGAGAAAAGAAGGCATCGGCCGATTATTACTCAAATACCCTTAAAAGGCACACACTTGTACTAAAGAAGAGAGATTTGATGCGAAGAAAGGCCGAGGAAGAAAAGAAGAAGACTATCAGCCGTCTCTTGGCAGCAGAAGGTCTTGAACTTGATGATTCAGATAGTGATGAGGCACTCTAGTCAACATAGGGACTTTGTTTCCACAAACCAATACCCAATATTTGATTCGATACCTTGAAGTCTCCCTCAGAAAATCCAATTATTTTGTAATTATTGTTCACAAAAGATATATGTACATATATTTATTTATTATTTTCAATCTCAAATGAGAAGCTGGTTTTTCAGTTGTATTATATCACTATTATGATGATCCGAAATTTGGAGAAGCCTAAGATAACTAGTAACGTCCACTTTAGATTTCTGTCCACTTTAACTTCCTTGTTGAATACTATTATGCAAGTTGAAAAATAAATTCCTTTTGTTTGTTGATCATGGGGGAATAAAATGAAACGGTTAAGGATTAATAAGACATCTTTGGAATTTTCTTTTATTTTTTGGTCTGCAGAGAATAGTTAATTTATATTTACAGAAAAGTGAGTGATTGGCATTTCTTCGAACTGTTTAATTTATTTAAATAAATTCTATGGAGAAACTTCATTAAAAAATTAATTCTGTTCTATTTAAGAATAAAAAATCCCCCATTTACTTACAAACGGAAAACTTGCATACGCAAGTGTCAGCTCGGATTGTGGATTCTGCGAGTGCACATTCAAATGACCAACCGACAAAAAGAATGGCATGAGTTTTTGTGTTTTCTTGTTAATTCACTTTTGTGTTTTTCTCTTCATAACTAAGGTTTATACGTGTTAGACCTATATAATAGCATCAAATTCAAACAAAAACAAAAAATCTCCCTAATTTAGTGTAAGTTAGACCTTGGGTGCCAATCCTAAGAAATAGCAATGTGAAAGTGTGACATATGTAATTTGTCATAATACCTGAGGGAATGAAAATAGAACGTGCTAATTAAACTAAATCAACCTAAGAATGATATAAATGCAATGCATGAAACTAAACATAATGCAGAAACTATTCCTAAAATAGTGAGCGTGATTTTCTATATAAACAAGATGCAATGATCTCTAAAACAGATTGTAATGCATGGAAATTATGTTGAACACTTAAAATGCAATTTAATATGTAAAGAAAAATATTATAACAATTAAAACTAAGTAAAATAGAGCAGAACTATGAAAACGAAATTTGTTTGATGAAATGCCTAAGAGAAAATCTAATTTTCACAAGGTGTTTGACAAAATGCCTAAGTGAAAGAAAAATGTGTTTTATGCCATTGACATGCTTGGAACATATTCATATACCTAAAACTACTTATGATATGCATCCATAATTGTCTAAGAATGTAAAATTCACAAAATCGCAGTTGAAAACCAAATCTGGCAGCAAAACCAATGTATCAGCGTTCAACTTATAACAGCAAATGTGCATCACCATACAAAACTCTCTTTAATGGTAAAATGCACATGCAAACATATTCAACCTATTTAACTACTGGATGGAGAATTCATCAAAATAAACTGCATAATTGAAATTCAAATTCTAACCAAGCATGTAACCTAGACTACCAAAATTTTAACTGTCAAAACTATAAAATCTGAAAATCAGAATTAAATCTGAGTTATAATGACTGTAACCTTTTTATTAACAGGAAAGCAAGTAAAGGAATGTAAATTTGATGAAAAACAGATTAAGGAATAAAAAATCATGTAACAGGTTGAGTATCAGCGTAGCTGGCAAAGTGTTTGTTCTAAACCAGAAAGTGAAAAATCTTATTCAAGTTCATTTAACTCTCAATCATGCTTGCTAAGGTTCATTTCTGAATTCCTTAAAATATAAAGATCACTTTGGATTCACTAGTATCTCAGCATGAGTCCATGACTGAGTCTAGTAAGGTGCAAGAATGAAAATCAAATGTCCAAGAGTAGAAAATTGAGATTCTGACTTAAAAGTAAGAAAACAAGTTTGCGACATTGAATTGAAATTGCAATTGAATGGAAAAAGAGAATAACAGAAATGATAAAGCAATTCAGAGGACAAAGTAGTAGAACAGAATTGAAAGTAAAACTGACTTGAATTGAATGAATGTTGATGTAGAATTACAATGCACTCAAAATCTTGGAAGCCTAGCTCAATTTGGAGTCTGAGATCACCTAGAACTTCAGAGAAAAGCTATTCTAAAACTGAGAAAAGTAAAAATCTGATTCATCTTATTTTGCAAGTTTCAGATGCAAACCTTTTATATGCTTCTAAGAATCCAAACCTCGAAAACTGGAAAACAGCCTAAAACTAGTCATATGAACTGCCAATAGCAAGTAAAAATTATGAACAAACTACCTAGACTAGCCTAGTCTATCTATGCAAATGACTTAAGTAGCAAGTAATCTAATTCAGCTTCTTTTCTCCTCCAATGGCCGGTGCAGATAATCTATGAATGCAGAATCTGACCATTGGAGTCTCAACCTATAGTAATAGGTTGCTCCTTCTGGTCCAGCAGGTTTCCCTTCTTCAAGTTCAGCTTGTTCAAGACTCATTCGTCATTTCAGCTTCTTCTTTATTCACAGGTAGGTATAGGTTGCCAGTGACAATTTCAATTCCATCTCTTCAGCTCTAACTTAATCCAGCAGGTCATGCCAATAATGAATAACTCAGCTCAGCTCTTCAACTATCCTCCGAGACCAGATTTTCTCAAGTTCACTACATCAGAATTGTTAATTTCCACAGCACCTAAAAAATCAAAACTAAACAACAAAATTCTACTTCCAAAAATAAAGAATGAAGTTGAATTAACCTACTTACTAAAACTAAACAAATACACTAAATCGAAAACTAAAATATACACTAAAAATAGAAATCAAATCTAAATTTTATTTATTTACAAGACTAGAAATTTACTACAATAACTGAACTAAAAATATGTCTAAAAACACTTAGTTAACAGATCTTAAGATGAACTAGTATTTAAGCAATCAAAACTAAATTTATTCTAAAATTAAGAGTTTAAGAACAAAATATAATCCAAAGAGATGCATTTAGCTAAGAAAAACTCAATCAAACCGAGACTCATCAATACGTCATGGTAAGTTCCACGTTTGTCATACCATGGTTACTATTTCACCATACATAATCCCTTTGCTGTTTCTTAATGGTATCTGTTCATCTTAAACTATTAAACTAATGGTAAAACCAAAAGCTGTGCCAAAGTATCACTACACACATATTTTTAGTTGAATATTATTAATTAATATGAGAAAAAGAGTAGCCCAATTAACGATAAGAAGAATCACAAGAAGTAAAATACAAAATTTATAAATAATTGCAAAATGACAAAACTAAGGTTAGAACTGTCGTTTTCTGTTACAGTTCCTTTCTTCTCTAGCCCTGTGCTGTATCCATACTGTCTAATTCTTCTCCCTTTTATTCATGTTGATGATGCAAAGAATTTTAGTGCCCAAACTGCAACCACGAGTAGCCAAAGTCATTTCCTAGATTCATCTGCCGGGATGCTCAATGTAAGTGGCATGTTTCTCTGAAAGAAGTTTAATCAGGGGATTCTCTACGTCATTATCTGATCGACTCTTATCACGCTTAACGACAACATTCTCAGCACTAGTGACAACCACCACTTGCTCCTTGCGAGATGAGAGTTCATTTGCAACTACTGCATCCATCTTGTACTTTTCAAGAGCTGCACTAGCCTTCTTTAGAAGAATGTTTGAATCTGTCTCTAACTGTCAGACAACGAAGAAGGTAAATATTAGCCAACACAAATGTTATTTCTCATTATGTCATTTCATTCTATGTTTGGACGTCTGTTGGCAAAAAACAGAAAAATAACATCACTAACTTGAATACCTGATCACTCTACTATCAAGAGATATTTTGATACTCTCAAAAGAAATGCCAACTATTTTTATTTCTACAAATTCTTAGAGAAAAACACAGACAATGAAGTTCCTGTAGAAAGTTAGTACTAATTATGTTAGTGTACTTTTCTATAACTTTGGAAAGGACAGTCTTTGAAATGCAAGGTATCAATCACATGTAGAGTTGCACAAAACTCACTTATACGTACCCACGCTTTGGCGCAAAACTGTCAACTTCCAATAAGACAGCTTTGTTACTGTTATCCAGTAATTCCAATTTAATATTTGTCAAAACAGCAGAGGTCAATGTAGGTTTTTTTTGTTACTGTTTTGCTTACCACAGCCTAAGGACTAAAAAATGGAAAGTTACAAGTCAAAAGCAAAGTTTTCAAGTTTCCCATTAGATGATGTACTCTATACTTGAAACTTCTCAATTTCTTGATTCCTCTTGATCATTCAGAGCAATGATTAACATAATTGTTTTTCAAAAGAGAAAAAAATGGTTTTATCATTATTATTTTTTTCCGAATACCATCAATACCTTGAAAGATATGCAGAAAGCAAGAGGAGCCCAATCATTCCTGAGCACCGACAACATTTTTGGCACATTAACTAGTTTCACATCCAAGAGGTGAGATCCTGACTGAATTTTGTGCTCTACCTGCAGGATTAATATACATCAATATAAACATTAACAAGTAAAGTACATCTTTTCCGAAATGCTGTAACTCCAACCTAGCCTTATAGTGAAACTTTTATTTTAATGATCAACCACACAAAACTACTTCAATTTTTCTTCACATGTGTATCTTCCCATATTAACATCCCTCGACTGTAATTTATCTAAAGGCACAGAAATTTTAAAGTTCCACACACTTTTGGTACATGTGAAAGAACCCAGTAGTATGTCAAAAATCACTACAAACAATGCTTAAAAGTTATACTTCTGGGACAGAAGCAAGGCTAGGAAATATGTGACATTCCCGTAAGTTTACACGTGAAGCTACACGCAAATTCTCTATGTAATATCTCCTGTACAAATTTTATATTTGATTAAAGCAGCGATATAACTTCTTGTTCTTAACCAACTACACAATCATTTAAACCAAGGTTAAAGTCAATACTGCAATAAAACTTTCACGGAATGATGAACCAACATAACATATTTATACCATTTCCTTCCAAGGAACATAATAGTCGGACGCTGCAGCAGCAAGATAGAACATTGCACGTGGGCCAATACACCTCAATGACACTGCAATAATTTGTAACATCTGCAAACTCAAGAAAATTAACAATGACAAAACAGCACTGACAAATGTACTGATTAAACACCTAGTAAAACTTATAATAAAACATGTGGCTCTCTATCTTGCAATCAGACCAACACATGATAATCAGAAGACACTAATTATATCCACTTCCACAATCAATTGCTACTAAAAACCCAGAATGAGTGAATGAGAACATATACAATATAGGAGATGTCAGAATTGGTTGCATCAAATCAAATGAATATTTACAATTTAGAAGCAGTACTACTAACCTGGAGATACTCAAATATGGTGTTGAAATGCAGTTTCAAAAAGAGACCACCTGTCACTGCCTGCAATAGAATGAAAACCCAAATGAGGCTATAACTATATCCAAATAATTTGAACCTGATGCACCATAAATTGAAATAATGACATGAAATCACGGAAAATAAGATAAATGAAGAGCACAAAATCCAATCTCCACGTCATACAGTGTGATGATCCACGACAGCCCTCTTCACTGCTTCCGAATAAGCCTCGCAAACTGAAGTATAGAACAGAATTTGCGCAAAATCAGGACAACTCCAGGAGTTTGTATAAAATAGCAATCGAAGGGGAAAAAATTGAAGTAGGTCTGCTAATTGACAATGCCACAAGATAGCCAATGAAACTAATCTTTGAGTGGACTTCATCTGAGAAATAGAAGGGGNTCTATCCACTTCCACAATCAATTGCTACTAAAAACCCAGAATGAGTGAATGAGAACATATACAATATAGGAGATGTCAGAATTGGTTGCATCAAATCAAATGAATATTTACAATTTAGAAGCAGTACTACTAACCTGGAGATACTCAAATATGGTGTTGAAATGCAGTTTCAAAAAGAGACCACCTGTCACTGCCTGCAATAGAATGAAAACCCAAATGAGGCTATAACTATATCCAAATAATTTGAACCTGATGCACCATAAATTGAAATAATGACATGAAATCACGGAAAATAAGATAAATGAAGAGCACAAAATCCAATCTCCACGTCATACAGTGTGATGATCCACGACAGCCCTCTTCACTGCTTCCGAATAAGCCTCGCAAACTGAAGTATAGAACAGAATTTGCGCAAAATCAGGACAACTCCAGGAGTTTGTATAAAATAGCAATCGAAGGGGAAAAAATTGAAGTAGGTCTGCTAATTGACAATGCCACAAGATAGCCAATGAAACTAATCTTTGAGTGGACTTCATCTGAGAAATAGAAGGGGAAAAAACGATGCACGTTTTGTAAGGTAATTAAATCGGTACACTTTTTTCTAGCCTTCAATGAATCATAATAATTTTATCTTTTTCTTATGGTGCGAGAAGAGAAAAGAACAGAAACTTATACCTTGAATGTTCGACTCATCGGTGGGCTTGAAGCATTCAAGTAAAGGATCATCAGGAAGGGATCTACAAAATGGCTGGAAACTTCCCCTGCATAAATTATCTATTGTTGGTCACCAATTGATAAAACATAAGAAAATACTACTTCCCAGGTCCAGAAACTCACTTCCGGTTAAGAAAGATAACAGCATATCCAGCCTTCAAAAAATACCTACAACACAACCACCAACCTGTTGGTCTCAATAGAATTAAAACAAATATTTATACAAGAACAAGACAATGCAAACCGCAACGTACTCTGTGGATGTGGCCCCTCTGTGACCCGAACTGAAATTATCAACGTACCGAACACAACGTTGTTCCAACGGAGCAGTGGTGCCACCAGAAGTCACACAAACAATTCTCCTGGCTTTCCCATTTCCTGGAGAAACCAAAATCCACCACACATCATTTACAGGAAGCACACAGAAGGAGAAACACAACACCAAATGTAGTAACAGACAACTCACCTGAAGGAGAAGAATTGCGTTTAATGAACTGATCTAACTGCAGAGTTATTCCATCACTGTTCTGCAAAGGAGGAGCAGAATCAAAAAAGGCTTTCACTTCTGCTTCAAGGGTCTCACCCGGAACCTCCAATCCCTTTGTTGCATCCATCAAAACTCAAAATTTCCTACGTTCACAAGTCACTTATAAGAAACACGTGACCTCATCAATTGCACGCAAACCAACCCATGAAGGGATTTCTTTTATTAAACATTCCCCGTTATCCAAAAATCTTAAATTGAGTAAAATTAAATAAGAAAACAGTGGAATGAAACATATGAACTAAAAATTCACATCAGAAAACCCTAATAGTGCGTAATTTTGATAATGAATAAGAGAAAGGTTTGAAATTTAGATAACTAACAAAGCAGAGAAGAGAGGAATTAGCGAGTGAATGTGAAATTTTGACAAAAGGTGGTGCATCTTATAGTTGGGGCATTTGCTTGGTGGGACTTTATTTTATTCCCAACAATAATAACAGAGAACAATAAAAGCGAATTAAACACAGAAAGGATTTGTAATTAAAAGTGAATAAAATTAGTTGAATTTGGAATTAAGATGATGAAATTATGGATTGATTTGTGGGCTAATAAATCCTCTGCTTTCTAAGCTTAGACCCTCAGTCTACGTTTTGCCTTCACCGCTTCTCCCTTCTCTTCTCTTGCACTTAAATTATTGTGTTAGCTCACTTTAAAGTCAACAACTCTTTCTATATATAACACATACTATAATATAATATAAGGTTGACAATGCATAAACATCACATTTTCTACTGAATTTTCACCTAGTATCAATGATATGACATATTTATTTTAAAATTTATAATAATTTAGAATGGACCAATTGAAAAAATATAAATAATGTCATTTTATTTGGTGTTTTGGGGTAAAAGATTAAAAGGTGTTGTTGATATGTTTGATAATCAACTAAAAATAATGATAAAAGTGTAATAATGTTGGAAAAAACATTTTAAGTAAAATCTATGATACAAAATTAGTATGTTTTTATAAGTATTTTAATATGGAGTTAATTTGTAGGGTTTATAATTTGAGTTTAGGAGTTAGGTTCACGACACTCTTAAATGAGATTATGTGATAGGACGAAAGAGAATTTGTGATTCACAACATGATCATTTACATTTAAAAATAAATATCTGGAAACTAGAGCTAATTCAAAATATTTATAGTGAAGGTTTTTAAGTTGATTTTTTAACGAAACTATTTTCACAACATTTAGTGTAGTATTAAAGTTTTGAAATTTACATAACATTTTGAAAAAGGGGTTCCATACTGTCAGAAAAAGTAAGAAGAGTGAAGTAAATGTTATGAAAAATGAAGAAAAAGCCCAACCCAAAAAAATGTTTATATGTTGTCAAGTATATTATCCATAAATAAATAATAAAATATTCAATAATTACTATTCAACTTTATCTTTTATCCACATATATTTGGAAAGATACTTATTCTTTATTTGAGCAAGCCATCTAATAGCAGGCCCAAATGAACAAACGCTACTATTGTTATGAGGAGACAAAAGTAGAGGATGAAGAAGAAAGCAGTGATAATATGCGAAGAAAAGCGTATTAGGGATAACTAAATACCTTGGTTGCGAAATTCTCGTTCTTTCTTCGGTTCCTAAGTAGCAGAATTTTCAAATTGGTCAAAGAGAGGATTGGATGGGATTTTGGAAAGTAAGAAAATTTGACCATATGAAAGGAAAAAAATGCCAGAAAATAAGAAAATTGACGTTATGTGTAGGGAAGATATTTGAATAGGTATCAAAAGCAAACACGGGAGTATAGGTACTAAAACTTTTTTTTTCAGGAATTTTACCTCATTTTCATTGTATTCAATGCTTATTTTTAATTTTTCAAATAAATAAATCAGTTAAAAAATAAGTAAAATTAACAAAAGTTACCCGACTATTTTCCAAGTTACTTGGGCTAATTAAAAGTATGAGAAAAGAAAAAGTACAAGTATCAAAATAGAATGGGCCAAAAAGAGGTCTGATTTTTTTTTCTCATTTTCTTTCTTTCTGTAATTTTATATTCTTTTATTTTTACATTTTATTAATTAATTTTATAACTTTTACTTTAAATTTTCTGATTTTTGTTTAACATTATTTTTATTTTATCATTTTTCTATATATTATTATTTTTTAAAACTATTTAAATACTTATTCTTTTAAATCATAAAAGTAAATTTTTATTCAAATTTTGACCCGATTAGTCATATGTTATGGGTTGAGTATCTAAAAATATATTCTGGTATATATTTTTATATAACTGGATATCCACATATAATTTTTATATTTTTTAATTTAAAAAAATAAAATACAAACTTAGATTAGATTAAGTACAGTTCAAATGATATGAAATATTAGTCCAAATAAATTTAACTTTTTAGAAATTAAATTTAAAGTAATTGTAGCAAAATATAAATTCTAAAAATTTAATCTCTTACAAAATAAATTCAATTTTATGGATCTAAATAAAAAAATAGAAATATGTGAACACAAATTTTAAATTATTCTTAAATGATTAATAGATTTTCTTTATTAATTTTATTTTTTCATCATTGAAATTTAAAAAATTAATTAACTAAAATTAATTTTTAATCTCTCGCTCAAATTTTTATTGAATTCACTAATCTTTTCATGTTCAATTTAAAAGTCATTCGACGTTTTATATCATTTTACTTCGAATTACAATTCTAAACAACGTTTAATAATTTTATTTGTTTACAAAATGTCATCGCTCATTTTTAACGTTCGTGTACGTTGAACATATAACGTTATACGCCGTTTTTGTATTAGTGTGAACCGTTTTTATCAACGAAAAAAGTTGAGTTTAATTAAAAAAATTAAAGTTTATTTCTTTTATTTTAGTGAAAGTGATTCTCCTTACTTGCTTAAGTGATTTAAAAACCTTTGATTGTATAAAAGAAGTTTTCCATCTTGGCTATACTAAAAATAGTCATTCTTTTCTTACACATTTCATATTCATTTCTCGTCTTTATCTGAATTTAAAAACCTCAATTATGTTCATATTTGAATTTAGAAACCTCAATTATGTTCAAATTTATCTTATGGTCATAAATCTTGATCTACTCATTCAAATTGAATGATCTTTTTAGTCTAAATTAAAATTCAGAACTAAAACTTTCACTTTGTTTCATAATCATCTCAACTAGAATGTTAAGATATCAACGTTTTTTAAATATTATCTAATTTGATATTTCAATCACTTTTCAATCCATCTTTTCTCTAATATTTTGAATTTTCTACGAATTCTAATCTTAAAGATGTTAAATAAGTTTTACATCAATATTCTTTTATCATATATTTTACTTATGTATATTTGTGGATATGAATTGTTTGGCACTCTTACTCCTAAAATTCTTTTAAGATTAAAATATATATGTTTAAACTAATATATGTTATGTGATTCATTGAAATGTTAGATTATTTTCCACTTTCATCAATCTTTGTTGGAAACAGTATTATAAATTATATAATTATTCATGTCATAGCCTAAAAATTGATAAGATTTTCATAAAAAAAATTTAAGCGTATTCTATATCAACATCCATACCTAATAATTAAAGGAAAGTAAATACTCCTAAATTAAGTTTAGCAGTTACAGGCATCTTTCGCATCATGTCCTAATTTTAAAATATGATATTTGCCTTGTGATTTTAAAATAAGATATTTATCCCTTATATTTTTAGTAAAGTAATAGTAATATTATATTATTTTATTCCATTTTTAGTTGTATCTGTATTAAAGAATATGTACATATCATAATACATTTAATTATGTATTTTATACCCTTTTATTTATTTTATATTGAAATATTATTCTCTCAAAATTAGAGCTGTCAAAATGGATCACAACCCGCGGATCAATCAGACCCACTAAGGGTTTAAGTCGGGTTGAGTTTGAAAAAATTGTATTTTTTTATACGGATTAGATTTCAACCCGGCTTATTTAAACCCGACACATGCGAGTTGAATCCATGGTGGACCGAGTTGGCCCACCAAACCACCTACTTAATTTTATTTTATTAAAAATTAATTTTAATTTTATAAAAAAATATTTATTATTGTTTTTGTTTGAAAAAATTATTTAAGTTCCTTATTTTCAAAATTAATTAAACACCCACGTTTGGGAGTGAAATTTGAGGATGAAATTTGTTTAGATTTGAATTATAGAAAGTTTATAATTTTTTTTTATTTAAAAAAATTGTAATTAAGTGAGCCAGTAAGCCAGGGTCGGGTCGGGTTCATATTTTTCTGACTCGCTAATAAATAAGCCAGATTTGATTAGTTCACTGAGTGACCAACTCGGGATGGACCGGATCGGATCGGACCAGATAGCTCGTTTTGACAGTTCTACTCAAAACTAAGACTTTCTCCTAAAGCAATTGATTATTTAATGACAATATAATTTTTTTAACATTTAAATATCAAATAGGTAAATAATTTGTTTTTATTGGTAATATGTGGTATTATATTTTAAGAAATTTATTTATATTTTTTAATTTTAAATTTTAATTTAAGGTTTTAGTCAATGTAATGCTTTAAATAGAATATAGACTGTGAGTACTTAGAATATTGAGAAACATAACCATAATTTGTTAAAAGTACAAAAACAAAACAAGTATTTAAAACTTAAAGAGGTGTACATGTTTTTAAAACTTAAAGAAGTAATTGAAATCTTTCTTATAAATAACATACACATTAATTTTTTTACTTACAACACTTAACATTAGTCTTGAAATTGAAAAAAACAGAGAAAACAAATAATGTAAAATAGTATAAAATAGATGAGTAATAATATTTTAATTTTATTTGACAAAAAAATCATTTTAAAAGAGAAAATAATATATGAATTTTTACATCTGTCATCTAATTATAAGTTTTTCTTTGTAATTATTATTTTAATAGTTGTATTAATAATGTTTTTAAATAAAAAAAAAGTAAACTCGGATTCGGGGTTTGAACCCGACGTGAATCGAACACGCAACCTTCTGATCTGGAGTCAGACGCGCTACCATTGCGCCACGGATCCGGGTATGGATTGCTTTATACAATAATTCTATACCAATTTAAATACAACGCATAACAGAAGAAAGATTGTTTTGTTCCCGCCAAACTCAACGAACTAATCTACTGTTTTATCCCCTCTCTATGAGATAGAATCTTGAAGACTGTTATCGATGGCGGAAAGTTTGGAACGTATTGACGTGAAGCTGTCTCCTGCGCCGGACGCAAGGATGCCGTTGATGAAATCAAAAGGAGGACGGCGGCGAGGGGACACGTGGGTGGTTTCAGTGTTCGTGATAATCCATATCGGAGTTTTCATTGCAACCATGCTCGTCAACGATTGCTGGACCAATTCCCACGGAGATTGCCTTCTGCAAACCCTCGGAAGGTTCTCCTTTCAGCCTCTCCCTGAGAACCCACTCCTAGGTCCTTCTCAGTCCAAGTTAGTCTCCACTATTCCTTACGTTAATTAAACAAAAAATTCTCATATATTTGCTTATTGGTAATTTAATTAGTTTCTTCGGTTAAGGTTTCACTATCACCAAATCTATTAATTA